AAACTTAATGAGAAATGAGTATCCTAAAAAAAAAAAGTTAACATAGTTTTTCCCTATGGCTCATAAACTAAAGCCGAAGGCCCATTCACAATGTTTATTTTGTGCTTCACTGAATGGAATGTGTACTTTAAAAGATATATGCCAAAAAAGACATGCTTATTGTACAAAATGTATACAATCACAGGACAACCATTTTTAACACGAGCAAAATTTTTTTTTTCTGTCTTCATATGCCCCAATTATTTTTAGGATTCCATTACATACACAGTTTCTTTGCGAGCTACATTCTGTCCTTAGCAGAATTCATTCAATAAATATCTTCCTTTTATGTGCCAGGTCCCGTGCTGGGTCTGTGGCTACACTTGGTGAGCAGTAACAGATCGCTCCTATTTTCGTGATCCTTGTTTCACTATTCTTTTCTGCACTCGTACACGCACACACAAACACGCGCACGCTGGAATAAAAGCAGGGACTGTGTTTTGCCCACTATTAGATCCAGGCGCACAATAGGCAATCAATCAATATTTGCTGAAATTTATTGGGACTGGCAGACAGTAACCAAACCATAATGCTTGTATGTTATAACCCCAGACAGGTGCTCTGGAGGGAAGGAGCATGATTCTCTGACAGCGTTTAATAAATGACTGGTCAAGGGGAGACATTTCTGCTCATGAGACAGGCCAAACTCCCCACTTCAGGCCTCTGCACTTGCCGTTCCTCAGTCTGGGAATATTCCCCTGCCGCCTCTTGCGTAATTGGCTCCTTATCCTTCAAACTCATTTGTGATGTTACCCCTTCAAACCTTCTCTCACCAAATTACCTCAGGGAGACACACACACTCCAGCCAAAATCCCCTCTAACTTGTAGTCACTCTTCCTAAACTATTTTTTCTGTCCACTCTGCACTGGAACGCAGAGATCATGTGTGCCTTGTCACACTTGTGGTTCCAAATGCTCAATCCTTTTACCTCAGCATCAATGCTCTTGTATAAATAGTAAGTGCCAGAACGTTAAGTATAATATTCAGCAGAGACTTAGAACACAGGGGGAAAATTATCCCTCTTGCCTTCAGGGGACAGTTCCTTGAAAGAGTCATGCCTACCACGGGCTTCCTGTAGTGTCTAACAAGATAAGGCAAAAGCAGCTGAGGTTCAGAGAGGCTCTGTCTTCCTCTGTTTATGCAGAATCTTGCTCCAGTCTTCTTGATGCTGATTGTTTAAAAATTCACTGATGGGGGAGTGGAAGGATAAGAACAGTGATGGTAAGAGGAAAACCAAAGGAATTTAAAAAAATAAAGATTAGGCTTAACACTAGAAATTGAAGGAAACTATAAACACAATTTGGAATAGACAAAAATAGATAAAGTGAACAGGGAGCAACATGGAAGGTAACAAAGCTAGAAATGAAGAGGATCAAAAACAAGGTAGAAGGTTAAGGCTGAAAGGTAAAATCAGAACACGAAATAGTCACGGGATGTAATGCACAGCATACAGAATATAGTCAATAATACTGTAATAACTATGTGTGTCATAACTATGTACTGTAATGACTATGTATGTATGGTCCAGCCAGGTGGGTGCTGGACCTATCGAGAGGATCACTTTGTAATTATATAAATGTCTAACCACTATGCCAAAACTAATAATAGGGAATGTCAAGTATAATTGAAAAAATAAAACAGACTCTATTTTCCGGGGGGAATCACCCCAAGAATAATACTGTAGGTCATTACGGAAAATAGCATAAAATAAAACTTGGAGAGTAAACATGAGAAATCACTATGCTGTACAGGGAAAATATGTGAACAAAATAAACGTTTCACTTTTAAAGCGGCTCAGGAGGAGAAGGTTTTCTAAGTAGACAATGTTGTGCCTGGGAGGCTTGTAGCTCTGAGGCATTTGCCAAATGGTTTGAAGTTGCAGAAGGGAACATTTGGTGAATTTTGGGACAAGTCTCATTCCTCCAGATAGGGTTGTTTTTTTGGACAAAGTGTACACTCTCTTTTTATGGGTGGTCTCTTCTGCCTATTTTAGATCTTTTCTTTCTTTCAAATTAAAGAAGCCAAGATCAACAAGTACTTACGCAATAGCTTCTCAGTTTCCTTAGTTTGCATATTACAATGCAAAGAGAGCAATTCTTATTTTGTCAATTGCTAGATTTCCAGAATACTAGCAGATAGGCAACAAAAGAAATTGATAACCTAATCCTTCCCCAGCACTTAAAGTTTAAACTAATTATTTTCAATACTAGATCCATCACAGTATCTTCACCATTGTTTTCTATTTGATAGCAGTGGTACTTTTGAGTACCAAAGTTTTTTGAATAGCTGCTATGAGGGACACATTGTACTAGGTTATGGTCACATGGATGAGTGAAGTTAGCCATGTTAACTATTAAATTTTTTCTGTCCACCCTCCACTGGAATGCAAAAATATGTGCTAATTATCAGAGAGATCCAAGCAGAGCAGAGTCCAAGAGAAGAGGACTGGCCACTGCTTCCTTGGAGGAAACAGAAAATACTTCATAGAGGAGATGTTGCATGGATTAAGTCTAAGAAGATGAGTTGAGCAGGAGGTGCAGCTGAGAAGATAGAAACAGTACTCATGAATTGCAAAAATTTATATTGTTTTAATGTACATACTACCCAAAGTGATCTATAGATCCAATTCAATCCCTATCAAGATTCTAATGACATATTTCACAAAATATAACTAACAATTCTAAAAGTTGTATGGAACCACAAAAGACCTAAAATTGCTAAAGCAATATGAAGAGAGAAAAGCAAATCTGGAGACATCACATGTTCTGATTTCACACTATATTGCAAAGGTATAACAATCAAAAGAGCAAAGTCTTGGCATAAAACAGACATATAGATCAATGCAACAGAAAAAAGCACTAAGAAATACCCAGGCATATATGGTCAATTAATTTACAACAAAGAAGCCAAGTTTATACAACTGAGAAAAGAGAGTGTCTTCAATAAATAGCATTGATAAAACTGAACCCCTGTCTTACAACATACACAAAAATGAACTCAAAGTGTATTAAAGACTTGAACATAGGACCCCAAAACCATAAAACTTCCGGAAGTAACATAAGGGATAAGCACTTAGATATTGGTCTTGACAATAATTTTTTTGGATTTGACATCAAAAGCAAAGGCAACATAAACAAAACAAAAAAACCAAGTAGTCCCTGACCAGTGTGACTCAGTTCACTGGGCAAGGTGAGAGATCACTGGTTCAGTTCCCAGTTGGGGCACATGCCTGTGTTGCGTGTTCGGTCCCAGTAGGGACACATGTGAGAAGCAACCATGTTTCCCCCTCACATCAATGTTTCTCTCCTCTCTTTCTCTCTCTATTCCCCTGTCTCTAAAAATAAATAAATAAAACCTTTAATAAAACAAGTGGAACTACATCAAACTAAACAGCTTCTTCACAGCAAAGGAAATCATCAACAAAATGAAAAGACAAAATATATAGTAGGAGAAAATATTTGTAATTGATATGTCAGTTAAAGGATTAATATCCAAAATACACACAAAACTCATAAAACTTAACAAAAGAAAAACAATCCAATTTTTTTTTAAATGGGCAAAAGACCTGAGTTGACCTTTATCCAAAGAGAACATATGAAAAGGTGCTCCACATCACTAATCATTAAGGAAATGCAAATCAAAGCCACAATGAAATATCACTTCACACTTGTCAGAAAGGCCATCATCAAAACAAAATTTAAGAAATAACAAGAACAGGTGAGGATGTGGAGAAAAGGAACCCTCATACACTGCTGGAGGGATTGTAAATTGGTGTAGCTACTATGGAAAACATTACAAAGAATCCTCAAGAAATTTGAAAATAGAGTAGCCATGCAAAGCAGCAATACCGCTTTTGGATATTTATCCAAAGAAAACAAAAACATGAGTTCAAAAAGATACATGTACCCCTATGTTCATTGCAACATTATTTATAATAACTAAGATATGGAAGCAGCCTATGTTTTCATTTCATCTATAGATGAATAAAGATAATATATATATAATGGAATATTGACTATATAATTATATGTGTGTGTGTATATACATTTATTGTATAATTATAGATAATGGAATATTATCCAGCAATTAGGATGAAAGCTTGCCATTTGTGGCAACATGGACAGACCTAGAGGACACTGTGTTAAGTGAAATAAATCAGACAGGAAAAACAAATACCATATGATTTCACTTATATAAACAAAACAAGACAAAAATGAACAAACAAAACAAAATAGAATCAGACCCACAGATACAGAAAACAAGCTGTTGGTTGCCAAAGAAGAAAGTGGTGGATGTGAGGGGGAAATTTTTTTTTAAAAAGGTGTTTAGTGAGACCTCTGAAGTCTCTCTACATTTTCTTCTTTCAGGGAACTCATAGGAGAAATTCCAAACAATCTTAAAAATCAGTTGTAGCTTAAAAAAAAAAGAAAAGAAAATGCATAAATTTATTCGGAAGATAAGACTTCATGGTAGACCAGCAAAGAGTAGAATCCTAGAGGGGACAAATTATGAAGTACAGATTAAATGGTACTGTATTAGAAATAAGAAAAATCAGTATGGACTGAGTACTCAGGGGAAACAAAAAATTCCAAGAGCGGAACAGGCAGAGAGAGACAGAGGGAAAGAGATGGAGAAACTCATCAGTTTCCTCCCACATGGGTCTATCTGCTATCTAGGCATACACCTTCAGTGGGAATGGAACTTGCAACTGTTTGGTCAAAAGGGCAACAATCGAACCAACTGAGCCACACTGGCCAGGGCAGAATAATTTTTATTATATCGAGTAGAATCTACTCTAGTCTTCTACAGAGAAACCCCTGTGTCTCCACTGACCTTTAAATATACTAAGGTATAAATTTACCACGTATTTCCAAAATCTTCAGAAGCTTATGGAGAGAAAATAAATGAGGAAATGATGTTGTAACAATATTAAAATGTCCCTGCCAGTGTATGTATTCTAAATGGAATTTTCTGCAAGCTCTGCAGTTAACCATTCCTTACAAGAACAACGCACATGGGTCACCGGATCAACTGCAGCTGGAAATGGAGAAGCGCCCTCTGCTCCACACCCTGTTTGTGGCTGTCACATGTCAGGTTGCCAGGAAAAAAAGTGATGAGACAGAATTATTGTGCAACCCAGTTACTAAGAGGTGCTCTTAGGCTCAGTATTTATGGAGAGGAGGAGGAAAAATCGGGACTGGGAGAAAGAAGCAGCTAAGCATCACTGCAATCTCAGTGAGGGCCTCAGGCAACTCTGTGAGAAGGTGTGAAACTGGAAAGACCTTTAAAGCTGTCTTGGGTTAGAGATAAAGCCACACTTCTTATCCCATGTAAATTAGTCATGGTGTAAAGACTACACCAGAAATGGAGTGTGGCCATGGAAAAGTTGCTCTGAAAAAAAGCAGGTAGTACCAGAGCTAATGATCAAAGAACTTTTCCAAAACATATACATGATTAGATTTTATTTAAATCAGGATAAAATAAATTCTCAATCCTATTGGCCATGGGGGAAATTGGCTGATGTTATATTCCATTCAAAATAGTATAGAACTATACATTCTCATATTGAAAAATGTAGCCTTTATGCAATAAGGCTAGAATAAAAATTGAGTCTCTTACCCCATTCTGGTGACTGAATACAACAATGAAGAATAATAAATAAACATATTTTCTTATTGCTAGGACCTAAAGTTTTAATGACTAAGATAGTAATGGTAATTCATTAAAGTAATTTTAGAGAATCATACATGTGCTGAATTTATAAGGTCTCTGGTACACTTTAGTTTACAGGTTTACAGTACTATCCCAGAAAACTTTATAAGGTTTTAATTTTTACTTATGATGTCATAAGGACATGAAAGAACTCAGGGTTTTTATGGAATTTTATGAAAAATTATTTTCTCCATGTAAAGTCTATCCTAAAATGTCTTTGAATTTCTGAGCTTATTTTTTCTGTATATGCACCCATACTGCAAGATACATACACTTTTTCTGAGAAGTTTTTTCCCCATTTTAGGTTTACTTTCTAAAAGTTAAAGTTGTCAAAGATAATTGGTGACAAAGCAGAAGCAGAGTAGAAGGTTTAGCCTCTCTTCTGATAGTCCTGTGCCCTTTGTCTCTAGATCAGTGAAAGTTCCTGCCAAGGTATCCTTTTGCTAAGCCTGAAGTTCAGAGTGATCAGCCAGAGTTTGCTGTTGGGACATCTTGGGACTATGAATGCCTTCCTGGGTATAGCAGAAGGTCATTCTTTGCCACCTGCCTAGAGACCTCCAAGTGGTCAGATGCTCAGCAATACTATAAACATGAGTAACCTTTGTAACAGAGGCGTCTTTGGCTATATTAGTGTGTCTCTATGGGCTGACCTGTTTTTTTTTATTATTATTATAAATGATCAGCAAATTAGTAAGTCATCTCAGTGAAGGGGGCTCCTGGGTTTTCCATGTTTTCCTTTATTCCTAGGGCAGTGAGTACTGAGGTTCAGTCATCACAGCTGGCCCATCCTGCTGTCCTCTATGTAACCTGTAACCTCTATGACCTTCCCTGTACTCTCTGCACTGAGTTAGAGTGAGGTTAGAAGTTAGTATGCAGGAATAATAGTTTCACTTCATTCTTACCTCCATTTAATCCAAGGGGTGTTTTTGAGCAACTCCTAGGTATGAAGCTGTAGGCTAGCTGGTGGGGCTGCAGGGCACCATAAAAGTCTGCTAGTCCCTTCCTGTAAGGAACTCCTATACTAATTGTAAAGGCTCACTTTTAAACAAATATTGTACTATCATGTAAGTTCACTTAGTCACTGAGGGAAAAGTTCTATGAGGTGATAGAGAAGGAAATAATAAAGGCTATCTAAGTGAATTAGAGAAATCTAGACATCACAGGCGGAGGAAACAGCATAAGCAAAGGCATGGATATGAAAGAACTGACATCTTTAGAAAATAGAAAAATTCAGTACATGGTGAGGAATAGTAGTTAAGTAAATCAGACCTTACTACTGACAGGTGATGAATTTTTCCAATCAACAATGTTAAGTTATTGTAAGGTAAAATGTAGGTGGTGGTATGACCACATTTGTGCTTCTGAAAGATAATGTGTTCATTGGTAGATGCGATAGAAGAATGGAGACCAGTGGAGACCAGAGTTAGAAAGGTAAACTTTGTTACTCAGTGATCTGATGAGAGGTTACAGCTTTGACAAAAAGTTGGTTTGGAGAGATTTGGAATTCAGTCACTAAAATTTGGTGACCAACTGAATGGGGGATAAAGAATGAGTTACAGAAAGGAAATGCTGACTATTAAATTTGTGTGTGTTTTTTTTAAGCCACAAGACTTGGTAGATGATGCCCTCAACTGACAGAATATAAAAAGGGGAAATAGAGATTATAAATTTGGTTGGACACAAATAATGTTTGCATGCACACTCAGAAATATAGGCTATATGCTTTAAATAAATACTGTCCTGGAGTTGACTATCCCCTTGGAAACTAAAAGTTTTGTAAAGGTCAAAATTTTCTTTGAATAAGCACAAATAAGCTAGTCAGGAAGTCTAGTCAGGTTGGGACTTATATGAAACGCAGAAAGCTTCCCAAATCTTAGTCCAGAATCTTGTTTGTTTTGTTTTCCTTTGTAAGTAAATCATGTGTGAGTCCCAGAAAACCTCTCCATGGCTCTGTCCTCACACACATGAGTATTGAGTTTGGGTCAACAATTACATATTCTTGTGATGAAGGGTGAATTGGCAGCAGACATTTCCAGGGCACATGGGCTTTACAGCAGTTGTTTTAACCAGATGCCTTCTGTCTTCAAAGAGAGATCTGAGTAACTGCCACCTACCCTTCAAAATAGAGGAGCAAGAAGAGAACCACCTACCTCATCTGCTCTAGAGACTACCGTGCAGGGTTACCCGCTATAGAGGTTACCTAGAAGAGAAAATAGCTTGGGCTACTCTTCTTCCAATTCTAAATCTCCAGTGTTACTGATCAGCAGGCAAATTTTACTTGGCTTTAGATTCTTTAATCTTTAGTATGAGTCCTTAGTCTGTCACTGATACTTGTCGTACATGACACTCCATCCTTTGCCATTCTTTCAGTGGACAAAGAACTAAGCTTTCCCAAAATGTACATTTAGCTGAGAGATGATCACTCATCTCTTTGCCTTTAGATATCAACTCATTGGTGACTCATCTGCTACATGTATTATCTCAGGCAATACTGTAACCTGGGATCAGGACATGCCTTTATGTGAATGTGAGTACAACGATCCTTTTATTGCACCCTGTGTAATTCTTCTTGTATCCTTCCAGAGGGAAATGAGAGATCTACATATCAAAAGGTGTACCCAGACAAAGTTATACTTGGTTTGATAAGTTCTGGGCACAGAGCTGTGGTGTGTTTATGTTCTTCCAATCCCCCCCAACCCCACCACAATTTCCTTTGATTTCTCCACTTTGATGATAAGTTATCTCATAGTGAATAAGGGATTAAGTCTAAAATATGCCATGAGACTAAACTGCCAGCTTTATTTCATGCAAAATGTAGGTCATCTCAGGTGCCTCATATAACAGTTTATCTATAAAATAGGGATGAGATCTAGTGATTAGATCTTTTTTTAAAAAATTTTATTCAGGGAGGTTACACGCATCTTCTTACTTTGCAACTTCCTATTTGTAATCGTCTTTGAGATAACAATAGAGTATTTTAACAAAAAGTGTTAATTGTAGTCTGGAGTTAGGATTTCAAGACTGAAAACAAAATTCCAAGAAGGTATAATATTTAAATGTCTTCTTTCTTTCTCCACCTGACCCCCAAAAAGCTATTCCTTGTGAGTCACCCCCAGCCATCTCCAATGGGGACTTTTCTAGCAACAGTAGAGAATTTTTACTGTGGAATGGTGGTGACTTATCAGTGCCATGTTGGACAGAATGGGAAAAAGCTCTTTGATCTCATGGTGAAAAGTCAATATATTATACCAGCAAAGACAATCCAGTTGGCATCTGGAGTGGTCCTCCTCCTCAGTGTATTAAAATAGTCAAATGCCCAATTCCGGAAGTTGAAAATGGAATTATGGAATCTGGAGGTAGACATGCATTTTCCTTAAATGATACTGTGATGTTTAAGTGTAAGCCTGGCTTTACCATGAAAGGCAGCAGCGTGGTATGATGCCAAAAAAACAGCAAATGGGATCCTCCACTGCCAAGGTGCTTCAAGGGTGGGTTGGATAGAACATTTGGTAATTTCTAAATGAAATTTGGTTGAACAGACACATGGTAGTGATGAGAGGAAGAAGAGAAAGATAGTAGTTATGGTTGAGTATCCTGATTAAAGAATTTCAAAGTAAACTTCAAAAGTAAAATCTACATGTTGAAGAGGTAGGAAATTTACTACATCCTGGAACAGTGTTAGATCTACATTAATTTGGATACATATTTCACAGAAATAGAACAGACATTTCAAAAATTTATATGGAACCATAAATGACCCCGAATAGCCACAGCAATTTTGAGAAAGAAAAACAAAGTAGGAGGGATCACAATACCAGACATCAAACTCTACTACAAAGCCACTAGACTCAAAACAATCTGGTACTGGCACAAGAACAGACCCATAGACCAGAGGAACAAAATAGAAAGCCCAGAAATAAGCACAGGTCTATATGGGTATCTAATATTTGACAAAGGGGGCAGAAGCATAAAGTGGAGTAATAATAGCCTCTTCAACAAATGGTGTTGGGAGAGCTGGACGGCTACATGCAAAAAATTGAAATTGGATCATCAGCTGACACCATACACAAAAATAAACTCACGATGGATAAAAGACTTAAATATAAGTCACAACACTGTAAAAGTCCTAGAGGAGAACATTGGCAGGAAACTCTCAGATATCCCATGCAGCAATTTTTTCACTGATATGTCTCCTAAAGCAAGGGACATAAAAGAAAGAATAAACAAGTGGGACCTCATCAAAATAAGAAGCTTCTGCACGGCAAAAGAAAACATCAGCAAAATGAAAGGGAGTCAACCATATGGGAAAATATATTCGCTAATGATACATCAGATAGAGGTTTGATCTCCAAGATATATAAAGAATTCACTCAACTCCAATCCAAGAAGACAAATGATCCAATCAAAAAATGGGCAAAGGACCTGGGCAGATGCTTTTCCAAGGAATTTAGAAGATTCTTTAAAAAATAAAAGCAGTACCACAGCCAATGATCAGATTATTTTTGTAAAACATGTACATGATTAAATTTTACTTAAACGACGTTAAAATAAATTCTCAATTCTGTTATTCATACCAATGAGGGTAGTTGGCTGATGTCAGAATTTGATTCAAAAGACTGTAGACATTATGCATTTCCGTATTGAAAAGGAGACTAGAATTAAGATTGGGTCTCTTCCTCCATTCTCTCTTTCTCCCCTATTCTTATTGAGAAATGTCTGACTTACAAAAAGGTAGCTACATTCAGATGCCCCTGCCCTCGCCCTTCAATGGCCAGACCCTTCATAAACCTGGTTAGAGGAGCAGGAAAATGAGGTCAGTTTTGGTGGTGAAAATGTATTACCAAAGCTTGGTTCCCCTGACTACTGTACTAGTGAGAAGAAAGCCACGACCATTTTAGTTATATAAAGTGGAAAATGATGAGCAGATGTAATGCTTCCTAGTCCATCCAGAGAGAGAAAGCAGGTGGTTGCATGGTTCATCATGTCTCAGAGAGTAATGGATGTTAGTCCACTCCACATCACTAAATGGCTCTCCGCTTTACACTAGGAGAGCTGACATAACCACCTTCATCCCACCCCTGCCAATCCCAACTTGGCTTAGGTTGTAGAGAGGAAAGTTCTTACTTCGGAAATAAAAGGCCTCTGGTCCTGTTCTTTTCTCAGGATGTCCACCACCTCCACATATCTGCCATGGTAATTATAACAAAATGGATAAGGAATTCTTAGCAATTGGACAGGAAGTGTCCTACAGCTATGAGCCTGGCTACACTCTCATGGGAGCTAACCCTATACATCCTTGGGAACCTGGAGCCATACAGCCCCCAAATGTGAAGGCGCCTAAAGCTCTATTCCATTGTAAGGAAACAGCTGTTTTCTGACTTCATGTGCCAGCTCTTGTCTCTTTTTTTCCTAGTGGAATCATGTGATGCTGCTCCAGGCCAGCTTCTCAATGGTCAGGTGGTGGCTTCTCCTAACTCCAGTTTGGGGCAGAGGTTTCTTTTGTTTGTAATGAGGGGTGAATGTGAGGTGACAGGGCCTGAATTGAGATCTATGACTTATAGCTAAGCGTTGCAAAATGTGATCTCTAAACATCATCACTGTTTTTTCCTCTCCCTCCTGTTCTTTGCCTTTTATCACCAAAAGTTCTGTTATTAACCAAATATTACTGGTCTTCTTCAAGTGTAGGTATTGTGCGTGGCTAGCCAAAACTGGCAATTATCCATTTATCCTTGAAAAAGCAAAGCTTGAGGTCCGTAGAGAAGGTTCTATTATGGAGAATGAATAGATGATAGGGATTTAGTAAGAGAGACTCTTTGGGGTGGGCTTAGGGAAAAGGTCTTCGATATTTTCTTCACTCAAAACTGAGATTTGTTCTTTCTAAATGCTCAAGAGAATGTTGAAATTTGGAGGCCAAGGAGAAAAAAGAGAATTTTTGAAAACATTATAATCATTAGGATTTTTTCCTCTATTTCCACCTGGTGTGAAGTCATCACATAGCTGAAGTGATTCACAAACGATCTTGGATTTTTTTCCTTAAGCCTAAAGTGCTTTAAAAAAAAAACTGAGCTCATTAATGCCACATGCTTGAGAGATGTGATTAATTCCATGCGACTGAGAATTGGTTTCTTCTGATGATGATTTGCTACCCCTTATTGTTGAAGGTACCGGTTCAATGGCAAATCTTCTAGTAAGTGTGTCTCAGAAGGGATGGGAGTATGCTGGAGTAATAAGTTTTCTGTCTGTGAACGTGGGTAGAAGCAAAAGTATGAACCTCACCTCTTGATTTTTGGTGTTATCATGCATTTTTCAACTATAACATCTTACCTGCGTGTGTACTTTGAACATGGACATACCACTCTTCTGTATGTTCGAGAGTGCAGAATGAGTTGTATTCAATCGACAACATCATTTGAGTGTTCTATTTATATTAAGATAAAGGCTCTGGAAAGTTACCCACTGTAACTGAGTGGCACATCTGTGTGGAAATGGTTTGGCCATGTCTTCTTATCCCAGTCCCTCTACTGATGAGCAACTCTTGGAGCTAAATGGAAATCAACCAGCAGTTCCGAGGTGGCACTTGTCCCTTCATTCTAAGACTCACTCACAAAAGGTGTGCATACACCAGCACAGCTATAAACAGTTAACATTAGCACAAGAATATAAAGGATATAAGGTCATTGTCCCAAATCCCTGACCACTTCCTGTGGCTTTTTCAAAAGGATGCTGCATCAAAGGGTGGCAAGTGACTGCAGAGAGGCTGCACTATCTTTAGCAGAGGGACAAGATGTCCTTTTACCTCTTGTAGCCCCAGTTCATTTGAAACAAGCATCAAATAATTTTCACATTCCAGGTATTGTACTTGCTCCTTTCAGGTACTTCTGTCTCTCTGGGTGCTCATTATAACCTTATGAAGTAGCTTGATTTATATGACAGTCTAAGAAACTGATGCTTAGAGAGGGTACGACTTGCCTAAGGTCACACAGCTATTGAATGACAGCGGGGATTTGAAACCAGGTCTACTGAGCCCACATTCCATTAGTCCCAGGTGCCTCCACATGTGATTAGCATGTCATTATCATACGTTTTCATGTGCTGTTTGCCTTTGTTTTATTAAAATTGATTACACTCAGAACTATTTAATAAATGCAGTTATATTATCATTGTTTGGTCAAGATGATGCCTATATTGATTTTTCTGCCAAGGATCAAGAGAAAGGCAAATATTTAGGATCTTTGGTATAAGTAGGACTATGAGTAAGAAATAAATTATACAGATTTCAAATGTGTTCCAGATAAAGTGTCATATTTTATATAAAGTGTCATATCATATCCATTGGACTTTCAATTTAATTTTGAATTTTTTTGTTGTTGCAATCAATATCACCACATATTTTCTTTTAATTTTCAGGGATTTCTTGTGGCCCTCCTCCTCCAATCAAAAATAGTTATAATAATGATGTTCCTGACCCTATACTTCTTAATACTTCAGTGAGGTACAGGTGTTCACTTACCTTACACATCATAGGAGAAAAAAATCTTTTTTGCATTAGTAAAGACCAGGTGAAAGGAATCTGGGATAAAGCTGCTCCTATATGTGAATATATCAACAAAAGAGCTACTTGCTCTGAGCCCATAGTACCAGGGGGACACAGGAATAAAATATCGAAACCACTGTACAGACATGGTGATTCTGTGACTTTTACCTGTAATATCAATTTACCATGAAAGGAAACAAGACCGTTTGGTGTCAAGCAAATTCAAAATGGGGACTGACACCACTACCAATCTGTGAGAGTGGTAAGTAAAAAGGAAATTAAGTTGAGCTGGGAGGGTGGGTCCTTTCATCTCTGAGCAGGAGTAGTTTTGTATCATTCTGAAGGAAGAACGGTGTCAATGTGTGAAGGGTGGGGGTGAGGGCGGAGCATGGCAAGGGTGAAAATTATGACTTCCCTGTTTCATTTTGGTTTTTTTAGATGTGAAGGATATGAATGTTCATTCAACAAGCATCAATAGAACAGATATTTTAAATTATGATGGGAAAAAGTAACTGAACACACCTAATAACTGAATTGAATGAGTCTCACTAGATTGGGGGCCAGTGTTAGTGCTGTGTGAATTGTGTGGTTTTAAACCATATATCTGAGTTAATGTTAAAATGGGAGGTGAGAAGTTTGTTAGCAAAATTACACCCCATGGATTTACCACTCACCTGTAAATAACTGCTAATACAACCTGGCAAATATGGTGTCCTGTTCTGTGTGACCTCTATAAACACTTTCTGAAGTGATCCAGTATTTTTCCAAGTCATCTCCCCCAACATAACGTTTCAAATCAAATGACTTTACAAGTGAGATCTTCATTCATTTCTGTTTAATTGGCTTTATGCTGTTGCTGAAATCTAAATCTGAACTTCTATCGTAAAATTACAGGGCCTGGCATGTTTGACAAATATTTTACCATCAAAATTAGCTGTTTATTTTCTCAGTGAAGAACAATATCAATCAATTCTAAATCAGTTAACACGTTGGAAAAACTATTATTGGAAAAATATGATTTTATCTATGTATTATTTATAGATATATAATCTGGAAGGTAAGGAAGATCTGAAGACCGTTCCAAAGCATACAAAATATTTAAGCTTTTATAAAGAAAAAAATATGTTTGCTATATGTTTTTTCTATACCTATATCTAGCAGGGTAACCCCGTAATAATATTCTACATTTGGAGCAGAGAATAAGCTTAAGTGTAAGTTGAGAATATCTGTGAAAATGGACTATCTTTTGATCATTGAAATTTTTCACAACATAAATCATAAAGTAACTAAAAATAAAAAATAATGAGCTGTTTGTGGTATAAAATGGATATGATTAAACCACATTAGTTTGATCTTTAATATGTTGAGTTGAAAATTCATGATGACTTGTTACCATCGATTGGGTGTCATTTATTTGGATCCAAGTACTATGTCGAAATCTAAATTGTGAAAAATATTTCATCTAATGGCCTTTTTTTAACATGTGTGTTAAGATTTCCCCCTGGAGTGTCCACCACATCCCATGATACCCAGTGGACATCACACAGGAAAGAATGTTAGCTTCTTTGTCCCTGGATTCTCTATGAATTACTGCTGCGAACCTGGTTACTTACTTGTTGGAGAAAAAAATCCATTCCCTGTTTGTCTTCAAGACACTGGAGTTCTGTCATTCCAAAGTGTGAAGGTACCCTCAATTTACAATCAGCTTTTAGATATTAGGCTCTTCTGTTATTTGTCATGCTTTGTGCATTTTTGCCTTGTTTCCATTGAGGCACCTTGTGCACCTCCAGGACCATTGCTCAATGGGATGATAAAGGAGCCTCCTAGGAACTGAACAAGCCTTCAGGTTGGCGTAACTGTGATGAAGGGTGAGTGTCTGGATGACCTGTGAGATTTAACCCTTTGGGCTTCTTCATGCGTGGTGTGACCTGTGCAGGCTCCTCTGTGAGGACCTATGGAGAGCCTGGGGTGACGCTGTGACAGATAGTGCTAATAAGCGTTGATGCACACCAATGAAATTAATTTGTCTGGGACTTTACGTAGAGGTTATTGACCCATATCACCAACTGCCTAATAGTTCTGAATGACCACCCTATGTCTACAGCTATAGCTTACAAGGCCCAACTTCTAGTCAGTGTGTAATTGCTAGACAGAGCGCTTTATGGACCAAGATGCCAGTATGTGAAGGTAGGTAATGCAAAATGTGGTCTGCAACTAGTTCCTTATCTGAGACTCAAGAAGACACTAAATTCTCTTAACAAAAAGCTTTTCTGTAAAAAGCTTCTCTGTATAGTTAACAGCTATACAGAACCTTTGAGAGCAAATATCTGTCCTAGACATCTGTAAAAGTTAAAACTGAAGTGTGTTTCAGTTACCTCTATATTCTTTGTTTAATCAAGTAAAGCAGGGTTCCTGGACTTTTCTTTCTCTAAAATCTAGGTAGACTAGTAAGTTGGGCTATGCACATAAAGGAGATAATATACTGAGGAAAAGTAATCCAAGGATCAGCAGAATTAGATAAATTCTGGAATAGATCATATGTTTTTGAATTATATTCGTATAGCTGCCTTGATTGTTTTATTAAAGATTCAAGTATCCCAGGTCTGGGAACCTAGGAGGTGAGAGCGGCATCAAGTCTGTGACTTCCTTTGCTTTCAGCACAGCTACAATCTTGTCATTTCTCTGTAATTTCTCTAGAAATTCTCTGCCCACCCCCTCCTCCTATTCTCAATGGAAGACACACAGGCAACCCTTCAATGAATGTTCCATATGGAAGTACAGTCACTTACACTTGTGACCCAGGCCCAGAGAAAGGAGTGGGCTTCATCCTGACTGGGGAGGCCACGATCCACTGTGCGGCTGAGAGTGGAGAGACTGGGACCTGGAGCGGCCCTGCCCCACGCTGTGAACTTTCTGTTTCTAGGATTCACTGTCCACCTCCCCAGATCCTTAGAGGCCAAATATTGTCTGGACAGAAAGATCAATATTCATATAATGACACTGTGGTATTTGCTTGCTTGTTTGGCTTCACCTTGAAAGGGAGCAAGGGAATACGTTGCAATGGCCAAGGCACCTGGGAGCCATCTCTACCAGTCTGTGAAAAGGGTGTGTTCCAATACCAGCAAAAGGTGCCACTGATTGATCCCTTCAAAGAACTGAAGGAATGGGTTGTGTTCTTAGACAGTGCCTTTTCCAGTTTCTAGTCCCCTCCATTTTACTAAATACTATAGTGTTTATGAATTATGCAGAAGGCTTCTTTTAACACTGCCCCCACTGTTGATTCATTTTGTGGGAGTATCCTAGGGAAAGTAACATGAAGGAACACTAAGTTGCTTATTTCTTTAGGGGAAAAAATGCTTGTTTGTCTTGATGCTGGTATCTTCGAAGGAAGTCAGCAAAGCCCCCACCCCATGGAAATATTAGAATCTCCCATTGAAAGCATACAAGGTGATTCCTTAAGGAAGAGACAAGAGAGAAGGTAAAGCACCAAGTGGGAACTGAACAAAATCTGCTGCCGCCTAAGAGCAGAAAAGAGGAAAGGATCAGGAACCACTTGATCTAAAATTACCCCCAGACTGGGCTATGAGATAGCTTCTCTATCATATAACTGCTGCCAACAGGGAATTATAGCATTAATGCCAATTTTTGGTTGTTTCTTCCTGTTTGCTGTTGTTTATGTAAGAAAAATTTTCTTCCACCCCTCTAGAGTGCCGAGCCCCTCCTAAAATCCTCAACAGGCACAAGGAAGATGGACACAGAATCAGCTTTGAACCTGGAACATCTATAAAATACAGATGTGACCCTGGCTATGTGCTGGCGGGAGAAGAATCCATACATTGTACCTCTGCGGGGGTGTGGACACCCACTGCCCCCAAATGCAAAGGTGCGGGGGTTTGCACGCAGATGTTTTGTGGTTTCCAGATTGCCTTGAGTTGATTTCTCATCACAGTGTCTTTTCTTTAGTGGCAGAGTGTGAACCTGTAGGAAAGCATCGTTATAGAAAACCCCAGGATCAATATATTAGACGAGATGTTAACTCTTCTTGTGATGAAGGGTGAGTGAGTGCTGGCTCAGTTGAACTAGGGCTGCCTTATCAGTGCACCCTGCAAGCTCTGTGTAAGAGCTTACGGCAAAGACCCATCCCTGTCATGTGTTCATGGAAGTGTCGATCGTGCTATTTTTCCATGTATGGGAACTATGCCTAGGCAACAGCTGATGAAGCTGATGCTGGCTACATTTTTTGTGTCTATTGCTTCTTGCCTTGAAAGTGGTGAGTCTGCTATAGAGCCAATAGCTCTTGCTTAGCATAGTGATCATGAGATGGCAAAATGACATGACTCTGTCTCTAGTTACTGGTTAGGTGACAGTGTTTTTCAGCTGCGTGAAGGCACAATTCCTTGGTTTGTGGAGATTGGTCTTTCTCAAGGTGAGTTCCAAACATAAGAGAGAAACTGAAATGATGTGAGACCAACTTATGTCCTGGGAGATTTCTGTTTCAGACTATGTTTTGGGAATCAGAATATTAAACTCTGTTCTATTAACTTTGTCAGGTGTTGTTGTCTTTCTACTGTTGCCTCTCTCCACTTCAAAGCATAAGCAACCACTTAATTCCAACATATTCAGTTGCTATGCTCTCTTGTGATTCAGGAATATAAGATGATGAAAGCCATGAGTATATGAGCCACCATGTTTAATTGGGGTACATTGTAGTTAAAGGAGATTGGTGTGAGATCTGATCTTTTATTCTGTATCTACTCCCTTGTATGATCTTGGGTGTCTTTTGTAACTTCTCAGAAACTTTAACCCCTTATCTGTAAAGTCAGTATGAGACAGCAGACTTCAAAGTTATTATAATTAAATGGTACTCTTTCTATTTTGTAAATAAGAATGTTGCCTGTCAAAAAGTAGATGCTTAATCGACAATACATATTCTTGGCTAAATTAGCATATCATCTCAACACAAAGATGGCACTCAAAAAATACTTAATTCTATGCCCCTGTGCCTTTTATACAACTATTGTTTATTAAAAAGCAAATTTAAATTAATAATTTCCTACTGGTCGTGAATGCCTCAACAATATTATATTAATGTACACATTCATCTTTAACGATTTCCATTACAAAAATCTTTTATGTGAATCCTGTTTAAATTGAATTTTACATGCATGATGATCTTTGAAATAACTCATATCATCAAAACTTGCTCATATCTTCTGGGAAATGGGGTAACCATGGTTTCATAACCAGGTTCATGCCTCTTCTTTGGTTTCTAATACTGAAGCAGATTTATTTAGTCATTTCTCATCCCTCCAGAAATCACCTGCCCACCGCCCCCTGTTATCTACAATGGGGCACACACAGGCAGTTCCTCAGAAGACATGCCATATGGAACCACAGTCACTTATACATGTAACCCTGGGCCAGAGAAAGGAGTGGCATTCGACCTCATCGGCGAAAGCAGCATCCGTTGTGTAAGCAGCAGTCACGGGAGAGGCATCTGGAGTGGCCCTGCTCCTCTCTGTAAACTTTCCCTCCCTGCTGTTCAGTGCTCGTATCCCAACGTTGCAAATGGATGCAAGACATCTGGCAAGGAAACCCCATATTTCTACAATGACAGCGTGACATTCACGTGCAATGATTGATTTACTTTGAAGGGCAGAAGTCAGATTCATTGCAAAGCCAATGTTACCTGGGGCCCTGAAATACCCATCTGTGAAAAAGGTAAAACTCAAAGGAGAAAAATGAGGTATTTAATTATTCTTATCTCCCACCCAAAACTACAGTCATGGGAAAAGCCAACAGACCACAAATGACTATCCTATTTCTTCTGTCTATACCAGAATGTTCCATGTGTGTTTTATATGTTCTTCATGTAGATACCTCTTGTATCCAGAATATATCCAGGGTAGATAATGAGAGGGCCTGGTTAAAAATGCATAGTTCTTTCAAAAGTACATAAAGCATTTAGTAATTAATTAGAGCTTTGTGATCTTTGGCTTAAATGTCTAAGATTGTCTGTTGTCAAATTCTGTACACTTAATGTTCTAGGGTGTAAATTCCTTTTTTTGTTGGTATTTATGTGGGGAGTTTTCTCTTCAGACTGCCAGCCACCTTCCTGGCTCCCCCATGGTCGGCATACAGGTGGAAACAGGGTCCTCTTTGTCTCTGGGATGACCGTAGACTACACTTGTGACCCTGGCTTCTTGCTTGTGGGAAACAAATCCATTCACTGTATGTCTTCAGGAAATTGGAGTCCTTCTGCCCCTCGGTGTGAAGGTACTTTCAGTTCCAGAGTTGCTTTTTTCCTTGATACCAGGCATGTGTAAGTAATTTGAAACTTGTTCCCCTAGAAGCACCACGTCATCCTGTGAGAGAAGATGTTCAAGAGCGTCCAGTTGATTCTCATGTGATTCCAGTTAATACATCCTGTCCAGATGGGTGAGTATGAGATGGTCCATTCAGAGAGGCTCTCCACTTTGTTTTGCACAGTACTTCTACCCTCAGCTTGTCTTGATGACTCTTTAGAGGTTTCTCGTTGCCACGCTCGCAGAGAACATGAGGTTCCAAAGATCCGACTGGCATCTGACATTTTAGTTCTTCCTTGACCTGGAAATGGGTTTGTTGTGAGCAACTCTAAATCTGAAATAGTTTTCTTACTTGGAGGGTCAAAGGTTTTAATATTTTTTTGTCAATGTTCTTATTTAGGAGTGCCTCTGTGTTCGTGGTATGAGGAGGCTAGGTTTCAGAAATGTGATACTGGGAAGAATGGGATTTGGTTCCAAGAGATTCCACAGTGTAAAGGTAAGACAGAAACTAAAGTTGTCAGTGGGATAGTAAGCCATTAGAGTGGCAGGCCACTGAGGAACTAGTCTGTAACTACCTCAACAGTTTGTGCCTTCTCTCAGTGAACCTCAGATAAGAAATACCTTTCATGGTTGGGTCATCACTGTCATTGGGAAGCAAAGCTGTCAAGTAGGAACTGAGTATTTGGCATACATCTGCTAAATTATATATGCTATATATATATATATGCTATATATGCTATAGATATATGCTATAGATATCTATTATATGTAAATATATTTATAGTTTGTGGCAATGCAGCTGTATTGCTTTCATTTTATTACTTTACTGTATTTTCAAAATTTTTAGAATGAATGGGTGTTATTTATATAATCAAAGTATTAATAAAATTGTATTAAAGAAAGGATTGTTCATCGACATAATATTATAGTTATGTGCAATACATGCACTTGCACCGCTCCATTTGTATCTGAATGATGACTGTCCACCTGAGTGTACTTGCTGAAGCAGGATTTCCTGAATGTTTTCTGCTGCCCTTCACTGTCCGCCTCCACCTGTGGCTGACAATGGGAGGCACACCGGTGTGATGGCAGAACACTTTCGATATGGAACTGAAATCTCTTATGAATGTGACCAAGGATTCTCTCTTCTGGGAGAGAAAACTATACAATGCATCCGTGATTCTGCAGGAGGTGGATCTTGGAGTGGACCACCCCCACAGTGCTTCAAACCTCCTTCTGTGACCCACTGCTCTAACCCAGAAGTCAAACATGGATACAAGCTGAATAAAACTCGTTCATCATATTCCCACGGTGACATTGTATACGTTGCTTGCAACCGCAGCTTCATCATGAATGGCAATGACTTGATTAGGTGTCATACCAATAACAAATGGGTGCCAGGTATACCACTTGTGTCAAAATGGGTAAGTTATTTTAAGAAAGTAACTATGGGATCACTTGTGGCTCAAGGAAGGAAAACGATTTTTGAATTTGCACTTACTATTTGACCTAAAGAAAAGCATGTGAAAACTAAGGCAACTGTATTGTTTTACAAGATACCTGCCTTATCTTCTTACCCAACTCTTTTTTTCTTCTTTCCTTTCTGTCTGGGTTGAGATAAAATATATGAAAACTGATGGTTAATTGCCAACTCGACAGTGTCTACAAAAGTTATTAGTTTTACTATATTAGAACGGTAAGAATGCACCTACCATTGCAGGGGTGGGGGGGAAATGTCGGCAGTAATATTGCTTGATAAATTGGACACTTAAGGCTGTGATACCAGCCAGGAAGAGAACGTCGTGTATTCTGAGGAGTGAAGCTGGCCTTTGGATCCTTTGACTTGTCTCTCTTGGAATTTTAGGTATCATTTGTCAGTTTTATTTCTGTCAGTGACTAGGTCACTCTCTACAATAGAGGCTGGTGATTAGTGACCCGAGAACTGAATTCGAGTCACCAGAACTGTTCTCTTTGGCCAACACAATAGTCTCAGTTTAAGTGAAACATGTCTCTACAGCCCAAGATAAATGTTGAACCTCTGATTTAATGCGGGTTCCCTCTGCTCTCCTGAAGGGCAGCAGTTGCTTGAATTGGGCTTTGGCTGTCATTTTTAGAAGGACGGGTTCTCGCTCCTTTGTGGTATCTGAAGGGAAACGGAAAGACTACTATTGGCTGATCAATTAGTTGTGGGCTGCAGCCATAGATGTTTCATTATCTTACTTTTGCATTTTCCTTCAGATCATACGCAACCTGTAGAGACAGTGCAAATGTCTGTCCAGTGCTGCTTGGTTTGGGTGGAACGGATATCACTAGATACCAATTAGTTGGCTTGTTGCCTGCCTTCTTTTTGTGTGGCCTTCACCCCCAGATAGTGTTGGCAACGTGTTCCTCTGTGCTAAACTGAAGACCCTTTATTACTGGTGTCTCAGCCCTTGTAGGATGTCAGCCTCCATTTGAGATCCCCAATGGGAATCATACCGGCGGAGATACAGCTCGATTTTTGGCCGGAATGTCAGTCCTGTACAGCTGTGAGGAAGGCTACCTGCTGGTGGGAGACGCACTCCTTCACTGCACACGTGAGGGAACCTGGGATTCGCTGGCTCCTAATTGTAGAGGTGTGTTATCTCTTTAATGTGAATGCCTTAATTAGATCACTTAATTAAAAGCACTTAAATTTGATTAATATATTAATCTAAATACCACAAAATAAGAAAAATGACTGAGGTTGTAGTCTCATGCCTTAATATTTTTCATTTTGCACATGTACATAGTTTGTGTCTTTAAGTCATGCTTTCCTTTTTATGACATAATAGTATATTGTTCTATTATATGTATTTCTGTATTGTGGAAATGTTAGGTTGCTTCCACACTGATCTTAAAATAAATAAAGATATGAGGAATACATTTTAATAAGCATTTCACAGGTACATGTACTTATTTCCAGTGCTTCCTTCTGGAATTACTAAGGATAAATGTATGATGTTTTAAAATACTTAATAAATATTGTCAAGTAATTTTCCAGAAGGTTTGTTCTAACATGATCAAATATCAAGTGATTAATGTATTTGTGTTTGCTGTATTTGTGAAGTTGTGTTTCTGGACTCCTTTTCTGCTTTATTGATATGACCATTTTATCAAATCTACTTTGTGTTGCTTTAGCCAGCATGGTTCTGTTGGCTGGGTATGGACCTGCAAGCCCAAAGGTCACTGGTTTGATTCCCAGTCAGGGCACCTGCTTGGGTTATGGGCTTCTGTGCTCTGTCCTCTCACGTGCTTACAGAAGGCAGAGGACAATCAATTGATGTTTCCCTCTCACATTGATGTTTCTCTCCTTCTCATTCTCCTTTCCTTCCTGTCTCTCTACACTTAAACTTTTTTAAAAAATACTTAAAGTAAAAGAAAAAGCCACTTTGTGTTTAATAAGTACGGCTTTCTACTATTTGGTAGGGCAGGAATCCCTTTGCTATAATTTCTTTTCAATTTTTTTTCCTCTATTCTCTTCTGTTTGTTCTTTCGGGTGATTTTTTTGATCATTTGTCATTCTCTAAAATCAAATATATTATGATTGCATTTAAGTCTATAGATTACTTTGGGAGAAATTTGTCTTTTCTGTGATGTCTTCCCATTCAGACACACACTAGGCCTTTCTTCTGTTCAACTAATCTTTCACTCAGTTGTTGTTTTCATGACTTAAGTACATCACTAGGATTCTATGTTTTGTTATGTGTTACTACACAGTAATTAGACATACCATTACTGTTTTTTGATTTATTAATTTTCAATACATTTGAATCTATAATGTTACCAAAGTATGTCATGTAATATTTGGCGAGGATGCAAAACAAATGATGAGTACTTGAGATTTTTGATCAGAAAAAGTTTCACATTGAAGGATTTTTTTTTATCTCTGCTTTTTAGATAAGATCAAATGAAGGAGATGTTTTAGTTGAGATTGAAGAGAGTATAGACAAGGATGGAAAGTTAGTCCAGGTAGAAGGAGCCATTTGAGTAAAGACTCAGAGGCTAATCATTCTACCATTTATTGTGAGAACTACATAAGCATTTTGACGTGACTGGGAAATAACAAAGGTCTTTTTTTTCTCACATAATGCTTTTAACATCCCTTGGAACTAATGTTCCATTTAACAGACATTTGGGGAATCTAGAAAGGTGGTCAGGAGCTAGACCATGCAGGCCATAAAAGGGAGCTGATAATTATTTTATAGGAACTTAAGCAAGGAAAAAATAGGTTTAGATTTGCATTTTGACAAAGGGGTGGGACTGAGCCATCGACCAGAGCAGCCGTGGCAGGGATTGAGGGGATGGGACAGATGTTAAGAGGAATCTTCACTGTTAAGAATACAAGATTCCCAAGACTGTGCAGCCTGTTGAATGTGGGGAGAAACAGGCCCAGAGAACGAGTCAGGAGGCGGTCGCTGGGTGGTCCTAGGGTTTCACCAAAATAGGAGAGGTGCATGTTTGTGGGGAAAGATGATGAGTTCAGTTCTGTCCATGCCACTTTGTGGCACCTGTCATGTAGGACACAAGAGAGGGGCCAGGGCTCAGGTAGGTGGCATTTAACTTACAGCTGAAGCTTTGGGCCCAAAAAGAACATCAAAGATAAAAATGAGAAACTGATGTCAGGACAGTAATGCTTAAAAGGAGGAGCAGAAGAACAGTCAGAGGTAGGAAGAAAGCTAGGAGACAGTAGCTTCACAGAATTGAAGAGAGAAAAAAGTCTCAAGGAAAAAATTGGGATGTCATTTGCGTGGCTTTCCTCACAGGAAGTTAGAAGATAATTTTAGCCAAGAGTAATTACAAATTTAAATAAATAGAAAATGTGGGCTCTATCTGTTTCCTTCATTTTCCTTCCTAAGTTTGCTATCACGACATGGCATGTGTGGGAGAATTTTCAACCTTTAGAAATGTCTACAAACTCAAATAATTCGGTGTTCCAGTGTGATTATTATTAATTTTATTAAGATAATCATATCACGTTAGTGTTTAAGTGCCTCAATTGATATAAACCAAACAAATTCAATTTGTTTTTTGAAAGTTGATATCGTCATTTGAGCTGCCTTGAATACTTTTTGTAAATAGATGAATAACCATTTAAAAATGGATAGGGAGCAGGATCACCACTGGGACGGGGGGATGTTAGGGGGTGGAGGACTGAGCAAAAAGGAGAAAGGACTCACGGACATGGACAACAGTGTGGGGATTGTGGGGAGCAGCGGGTATAAGGAGACTAAATGGCAATGAAAAATAATAAAATCAATAAAAACAAAAGAGTCAAAAATAAAAATAGATGTCTACCATGGACATGAACAACAGTGTGGGAAATGACCATGGGAGTTGGCGTGTGGGCTTTGTGGAGGGGGACAAAGTGGGAAAAATTGGGACAACTGTGATAGCATAAACACGAAAATATTTTTTTTAAATTAGATAATATTAAAAAATGGATGCCCTTTAACAAAATTAAATACTTATAAAAGTCATCTAGCATTTGAAGACGAAATTATACTATTCTTTCCTAGGCTTCTAATATATTTTGATAAAATGTAAATATCACATTGACCTAAAATTACCATTTTATCATATTCTGAATGGATCTTCCTATAAGCTAGCCTCTTAATTGTGCTAGTGAGAGACATACTATAAGTAGCCTTAGAAGTAGTTTTTCTTTCCCAGAAATTTTGTAATACTTTATTTCTGAGTTCTATATCGTATCATAATCACATTTTCTTGTCCTTTGCTAGTTTCAGCAAAGTGGTTTTAGAAGAATAGGAAAGTGTATGTGCTTTCAAAGAGGAAAAGTAAAAATGTCCTCTTAAAAATCATAGAAAGCTTTTAGTGCTGTTTGATCAAGTGAGGATCTTGAATTAAAGATCAAATACAAAAATTTCCTTTTAAATTACATTGGAAGTGTATGTCCCAAAAAGGTAAACCTATGATTATATCCTAAAAAAAAAAAAAAAAGGTTTTAACTTTTTTTTCAAACTAGGGGTCTAAGTGAGTAATTAAAAGTCCTGGATCTAACAGAATCCTGCTTAGTATCCACTTTTGATTTGGACACTTGGCAGCCTAGCAAGTTGTTTATTTTTATGGGTCTTTCCCCCAAAATGGGGATTTTAGTGATTATTTCTTAGGCTACTTAGGGTAATATAATGGAATCACCCATGAAAAGTGTTTACCAGAAGAATCAAGATGGTGGAAGAGTGAGTGAAGTCACACTGACCTCCTCCTAGGAACAATCTGAAATAACAACTAAATTGTGGACAAATCACCTGGAGCAAACAACTGAACAATAGTGAGAGAGGAGCCTTATAATCTCGGAGACAGAAGAATCAGTTTTAACTTAATCTAATTGGTAAGTAGTGCAGTACAGACCTGAGAAGGCAGGCAGGGTGCCCAAGGAAGGCAGCACCAGAAGGATATTGAAGTGGCCAGTTGGATCCCCCTGAGAAGAGCAGGGTTTAAACCAAAAGTAGGGTTCTCTAGCCTATAGCGCCAGAGCCCAAAAAGTACACAGATAACAGCCAGCTGCAAAAAGTGGCAGGGTTGCTCTCTGCCAGAGACAGGTGGCTGGAGATGCAAAGAACCTTTTAAAGGGCCAATGCAAAATTTTTATTTGCAGCCACTTACTCTGTTCTTCGGCAAAGGCAAGGGCAGAGTGAGCTAGATATACCTGAGAAGAGACTGGGGAAGGAAGCTTTGGGGAGAAAACTAAGAGACTAGCTGGTGGGATTTAAAGTGATAACTAATCCCCCATGCAGAAGCAGCCATCTTGCTCAGGCAGAGACCACTCCCCCTGAGCAGCACCAACATCAGAGGACCCAATAGCCCCATCCCCAGGTGGGATTCCACCCTGCCCTGTGCTGTCTAAGCTGCATGCTGAGTGCAGTTGGCAGCCACAGACAGTAGATCCCTGGCTAAAGGGGGTGTAGAGAGGTCTGGAGACACTTGAGGAGAGATTGGGGATGGAGGATTTGTGGAGAGAATGGAAAGAATAGCTGGCGGGATCCCAGTGCTGACTCCTCCCCCATACAGCAGCAGCGTGAAAGGACCTAATAACCTCGCCCCCAGGAGGGACTCTGCCCCACCCTGAGCTGTCTGGGGCAGCCTGCTGAGTGCAGAGTGAATAGATTAACAGCCGAAGGAGACAGCCACAAACAGTAAATTACTGGAAGTCTCTAACAGACTGCCTAACTTCAGACAGGGACAATATCTGACATCATCAGAGAAAGATCTAGAAAGTAAAAACAGCAGTCTCCTACCATAGAAGTTCACACTACAAAGTTCACACTACGAAGTTAGGAAATCAAGACAGATCAACTTAAGAAACAGAAGCAAAAAAGAAGTCTCACAAATAATGGGAAGACAAAGAAATACCACCCACTTGAAGGGAAAGGAGGAATCTCCAGAGAGAACTAAAAGAAATAGAGGCAAGATATTGAGTTCCAAACAATGGTTCTAAGGAAGCTCAATGAGTTCAGTGAGCTCAGGGAGAATTACAAAAACTACAGAGAAACTATGAGGAACTTACTGCAAATTATATCAGCATGACAAATGACATAGAAACTATCAATAAGAGACAAGAGGAAATGAAGAATAC